GTGCCAACACAAACAATTTTCTAAATTTAACAATACAATTAAGCAAATCGCCTTTTTTCCTATGGCATCGGCCGGTCGTACAATGCCAAAAGTCAAGAAAACAAATTTCCACAAAGCAAACAAAGAATAGCCAAGAAAAATGTAAACAAAATATGAATATGATACGCTCTGCTAAAAAAAAAAAGGAAAACAAACTATTAAGTCTTGACTCGATTTCCGTTGTAGTGGTTTATCTTTAAAAAACAAACGCCCACATGAGAGAGATTTTTGGCGGGTCAATGGGTTAGTGTGAATATATTTCAACGCAACTTTGAGTTTATGGGTCCAAATGAGGCAATGGTGTTGCCGCATTTAAATATTTTATTTAAGAATGAAATTTGAGTACAAATTTTAATAAGAACTGTTTGCATTTTATCAGATTTTTGTACGACGGAAATTAGATTTGATATTTACGGAGGGGTTTTGTATCCTCAAGCTTGAAAAGAAGGGTATACTAATTTTGTCATTCCGTTTGTAATATCCCTAAATATTCGTCGTAGACTCCATAAAGTATATATTCATAATCAGCATAAAATTCTGAGTCGATTTAACGATGTCAATCTGTCTGCCTGTTGAAGGCACGATACACTCCACATTATTTGACGTAAAGCTTCAAAATTTGGCAGAACCATTAGTATTGTGTCTATGATGGTTGGTATGATATCGGTTTATATCGGTCCATGTTTTGACATAGCCGCCATATAACGGTACCCACGGATATTCGGTATTTTAATGATTTTTGAAATATTTTTCCACGGATTTGTCCAAAAATTGGTATTTGTAATTCGTAATGGGTTCTAGCTCCTGTCGAAGAACATTGAATAACTTGATCCACATTTTCCTATAGCGTATATGTAACGGTACCCACCGATATTCATTATTTTGATAATCCCAGTCAAATTTACCCACGAAACTGTTTTAAATTTGGTATTTAAGACTCGCAATAGATAAAAACCCTTGTCATATAAAATTGTCTGTATATTTCCCCGTTTTGGTATGGCCCCATATAACGGTCTTACTCACTTCAAAGTTTAACTGTATTATACAAATGGGCTCAGCTTAAAGTGAAAATCATTTGAATCCAGATACTATTTTATAAAAATGTTTCCTTTACCCAAAGGTGAAGGGTTTTAAAAGTTCGGTCCGGCCGAACTCAATGTTTTACGTTGTATTTTGGCCCATTTCCGGCGAAGCACGGTGAAGTGATCGACACTTTGGTATTTTTTAGCGCCAACCTTGCTTTCCAAAATACTCCAGACACAATAGTCCAACGGATTGGTATCAGGAGATTTTGGTGGCCATTGTGTGCTGGAAATGAAGCGAGGAACCTAATTTTGTAACCATTCTTGGGTGGCGCGTGCTGAGTGCGATGGTGCTGAGTCCTCTTGGAATGTCCAAGGTCTGCGGCCAAAATGTTTGCGGGCTAAAGGCTTTTATGGCGGCCCACACAATCACCATTGCCGGCGCTTAAGTTCTGGTGGCCAACCGAAGGTGCACATTTTCAGCTGACCTCATTGGCAAGTAAACACGATCATTTTGTTTGTTTACAAACTGCTGGACAACGAATGTTTTCTCATCGGATAAAACCAATACGGCAGTTCACCACTTTCGGCCAAGCAAAGCAACTCGTCTATTTTTTCTGTTGCGGTGCAAGTTCTTGCACTTTTTGGAATTTCAATGGCTTTACCCAGAGCTCATTTTTCAATATTTGCCGAACGGAATATTTTCGATATGTTCAGCTCATGAGCCATTTTCGGCCACTGCGACGCGGGTTTTGATCAAGTCACTTCTTTACATTTCGAACCATTTCTGCTTATGTTGTTGTTTTCTTCCGCCAATCCACTTGACGTGGGGCTACGCTACCAGTATCACGATAACGAGCAATGGTACGAGATACAAAAGATTTATTTACATTTAAATGCTGGAGTGCTCTAACGATAGCCACTTGTAGTTTCCAACCAAAAATATAAAAATCACACTATTACGCTTGAATTCAATCACAAATAACATTATTTTGGAAAATTCTCACAAAAATGCTTTTTTACGCTTGTAAACAACATAATGAGCTGTCACTGGAATAGTTTTAACAGCTGTCGGACAAGTGGCTTAGATATGACAGCAGTCTGAAGTTGCTTGCAGTTTTTACATCTCATCCTATACAGATAAAAATATTGATATCGACAAAATAACAACAAAGAACATTTATATCCAATGTTATGCGAAATCATAAATTTCATATTCAGCTCAGATTTCTGCTTGAGAGAAATGTGTAAATATTGCAAATTGTAAAGAATCGCTGACTTGTTTCGCAAATTATGACAGATGAAAGTATTGATATTTAGGGTGAGGTACCAGAAAGGGGTTCGCAGATATATATAATGTTCACAACAAATCATGTGTTTGCAAAAATGTTTGTATGTGTGAAATTAGAAGAAAATTTTTACTCTTGTGCGAGAGGTATTTGAAGGAATAAACCCATATATCACATCTTCACAGCAGATCTTATATTAGTAGAAATAATGGGATGTGTGAAATACGAAGGGAACCGGATGCATATTTCGGATTTATGATCGTTTTGGTTATTCGATTATCCTTCATTGAGGAGGTACCATAAGGAGTGGTCCGATCTCTACCATCTTTATTACAGACCTTGATTTGATAGAAATATTGAGTTTTATGAGCTTCATGGCTAGATCGACTTCAAAATCCTGAAACATAGTTGGTCCAAAGAGACCTAGGGTATATAACCGTTATTTCGATTAGTCACGTTCTGGCCGTATTAAATGACTTATACCCTCCCTAGCCATATGACTGTGTATGTAATTAACATGCGATTTTAGTTTGACAATGTATTTGTGTTTACCGATGTGTTAAACTATGTAGTGTTCCAATCCTTCTAATTTCCCTAGAAATATATTTGCAAAGAAGTTTGCGAAAATTAGGGACGAATTCTATTCAGATGCATTAAGTGATGTGAAAATAAAAAATATTAATCCTTCTTCCTAATCCCACACACTTCAAAATTATCCCCACTTCACACAAGTAAAATTATCGGATTTCTATTTTTTGTGAACAAAATAACGTATCATATAGAAAAATTTTGGAAGCGATTGATTAATATTTACGGAGTTTATGGTATTTCAAATTTCAAGGTTAGCAATCAGCCACATAAGTACGCCTGAAATCATGCTTTGGTTTTTTTGGTTTTTAATTCTAAATGATGTTGCCAGACCGAAATATTATAATAATATTATTGTAGACTCCTTGCTATTTATTTCTGGGCACCTGGTAAATAGAGAAATTGCAGAAAATCACTTTTCAGTTTGAGTCGTGACGTCACGTCACAATTGAAATGGCTTGTATGCAGGTTCGTTTGTGATATTTTGTTCCTTGCAATTAATATTGGTGATAAATTAGATTTTGAGCTTTTTATACCCTACAACACTATGTGTTGGGGGTATTATAAGTTTGATTGGGCCAAAAATTATGTAACACCTCGAAATATTGGTTTCCCACATATGAAAGTATATATGGATCTTCCTATCTCGCCGAGCAGAGTCGATCTAGCTATGTATGTCCGTCCGTCCGTTTGTCCATGTTAATTTGTAATCACTCTACAGCTCGCAATTATGGCCCTATCTTCACGAAATTGAAAATGGAGATGGGGTTAAGGCCAGAATACAACCTATTTCTTTTGGAGATGATCGCATAATATTTAGGGTTTGAAATGGACCAAAAACTGAGAAATTTCGTGATCCCACAATGGAAGCCAATAGACACAATTGAATCCTGAGAAGAGAGTTAAGGACAGGGAAGAATTCTAGGGATGACCATTGAAATATATTTAGCTGTAAAATGGACCAAAACAAATAACAGCACGACAGAGTGCGTAAATATTGGACAAATGTCCTTGGTCAAAATGCTAAGGGTAATATCTAGGCAGTGCCACGTGATATAATTTCAAAACCGAAATCTTCCAAAATGGATTTGGACATAAGCGGGCTTCTAACATATTGTAGTGATGTAGGGTAGCACGTGCGACTATTGCCTTTGCTTACTTGTTTTATTTATTTTTTAAATATTTATTTTTTTTATTTTTTAGGAGGAACCGAAGGCAGTGACCATTGTAAATATCGCTCAATAAACCTAGTTTTTAAAAAAGCAATTTTGACTAACAAATTTCCACCGTATCAAGTATTATATACCTTTTACCAAAATGTTTCTAAGATACAATGTTTAAAATAATGCAGAAATTACTTTCTAGAATTATAGTAAATGGACAAATTAGCAGATATTTTGAGTGAACTAACTTTTCGCCAAAATTAATTCGAAACCCAAAATGAAAATCTTAGCGTTTATTTTACCTGTAGAAAAATCTCCTCCTGTGTTGCTGCAAAATCCTTAACTTGGCTTCTGAAAAAAAAAAATTGTGAGAGTGTGAAATAGTAACCTAAAAATGATTTGATGACCTCATAAATTTCAACAATTTTTTGTGAATCAGAAGAATTAAATGGCTCTCTGTTATGGGATACTCAACGAATTTCCCGGTGAACGTTCACATACAACCAAGATGTCTTAAAATTGTTACAGTTATTTGAAACTAATAGCTTACAGATACCTTGGTGGTGAGTGGCAACTTCTTGGCTAACAAATGAAGCAACAGCATCACGAAGTCAATGCTTATCAAATGAAACAAATCTGGGCAGCATATAAAATTACTTACCATTAAAAACTAAGAAAAATATACAATTGATAAAAAAAGAAGTTTCGGTTTTTGTTTCATTATATGGGCTTTTATTATTTTTATACTTTTTTCTGGTTTTTCTTCTTGGTTAGACAAAAATTTACAGTGATGTTTTGGAGGGGAGGATTTTTGTTTCCAAACTTATACTGAAACTGATATTAAATACAAGTAATAAAAAATAAAATAAATTCGCCTTAAATAAAACAAAATCATGACGTACTGTTTTTGTTGATGTAGATTAAACAGTTTTGTGTTCACATAACTGTAATTGTTGGTTCTTGTTCTTCTTCTATTCTTTTTTTGCATATCATGTAAATACCTTAATAATTATTATTATAAAAAATGTATACATTGTTGTTATAATATAAAACATATAGGTGACTTAATGTAAAAAATAAAGTAAAACATACATCAGATATACATATATACTTTTTGAAATTATTAAGTTTTTTTTTTCTTACAGAAAATTTTAGATCTTACAAACAAGAACTTAAGGATTTGTGTTTTTGTTTCTTATGTTTTTTTAAGTATAAAAGTAACGAACAAAATTTTTAATTTTTTTATTAATTCAAGAAAAAATTTCAAATTGTATTTTTTTGTAATGCTTGTTTGCCGTTTTATCTTACATACAAAACTGATTTCAAAATCACGTTTTCATATTTTTCCTCTTGAAGGTTTTCTTGTTCTTTCTTCATCATTATAACGTTGCTATCGTTATGTTTTCTTTATACAATAACTTCATCTTATCAATAATTTCTGAGCTATATTATTGTGGCCATACTTGTTTCATTTCATCCAATATACCTTATTTTCTTACATCTGGGTCAGCCTGTTATCTCCAGCTACGACTCTGTATAGATCAAACATTTTTTACCCTTGCCCACCGAAGCCAAGGCATTAAAATTGGGACTCCAACTGACGGCATTCACTGCAGAACTGTGAAATAATCCAGAACCAGAACTTTTTTGTTTTAGAGCAGTTTTTGTAAAGCATTGGATGGAGGGAAGGGGAATTGATGGGTAGTTGGGAAGAAAGAGAGAAACCGAAAAAAATATGTATAAAAGCATAGAAATGAAGTGAAAACTAAAAAGAGACTACAATGAACAATGGATAATGCATGCAATGATGAGAAGTAAATAAAAGACGGATACGGTGATGTAGGAAATTTACAGATTTTATACGTAAATATTTTTTACATACAACAATTATGTAAAATTTGTGGAAACTTGTAAGGTTACTCAAAAATAGTTATAAATAATAAGAAATGTTTCTGCTAAATTTAAAAGCTCCTATTAAAATATTGTGCAGTCTGAAGTTAAATTGGATGAATTTTAATCTCATGGAGTGCTCATAGAGTACGAGTTTCCACAAACAAAAAAAAAATCTCTCCAAGGATTTATCTATGAGAGTTGGAGTCAAAATCGAAATGGATTAAAAATTTCCTTTGTGAGTGAAAATATTATTTTTTGTACCCTCCAACTTGAAAATTTGTAATTCCGTTTGTAACATGCCTAAATATTCGTCGTAGACTCCATAACGTATACATATTATGTCTGTCTGTCCATCTGTCTATTGAAATCACGATACAGAACACATTATTTGACGTATTTGGCAGAACAAGTTGTGTTGTATATAGGATGCTTGGTATTGAAAATGAGATATATCGGTCCTCGTTTGGGCATGGCCGCCATATAACGGTACATCCCGATATTCGGTATTTTGATGATTTTTGCCACATTTTTCCACGGATTTGTCTAAAAATTTGTATTTGTAGGTCATAATTTATTCTAGCTTTGATGGCGAAACATTATATATACAGGTCCACGTTTTTGTATGGGCCTCATTAAACGGCACCTGCCGATATTCGGTATTTTAATGATTTTTACCACATTTTTTCACGGATTTGTCTAAAAATTGATATTTGTAGGTTATAATTAATAGTCGTGCGGGCCGACCATGTGATACCATTCAACACTACATTATGTTTGAAGCCCCCATATGTCCAAATCCATTTTGGAATATTTCGCTTTTAAAATTACGGTGCACTGCCCAGATATTATCCTTAGCATTTTGACCAGGGACATTTGCCCAATATTTACGCACTCCGTCGTGCTGTCAGTTGTTGTGGTCCGGTTTACAACTAAATATAATCCAATGGTCAACCAAAATACTAGTGTCGATTAGCTCCAGGATTTTTTTTCCTGTTTTTAGTTCATTTGAACCCCCTAAATATTTTGCGATCACCCCCAAATGCAAGAGGATATCGCCTGTAGGTAGTGTTGGAATTTTTTCACACAAAAGTAGTGGTCCATTTTACCCGTTGTCCTAAACTCTAACTTCATGCGAGATTTCGTGTCCGTTGGTTTTTATTTGAGACCTTTATAACGGCTGCAAAATCATGAACATTTTTAGTTTTTGGTCCATTGTAACCCCTAAATATATTGCGGACATCTTTGAAAACAATAGGCCTAACCCTTCTGAGCCCAACCCTACCCTTGTGAAAATTTTCGTGAGGATCGGACGATATTTGCAATACTTATATAATATCCCCAACCTGTGTTGTAAGGTGAAAAAATATTACAAAATATTATAAGTCAAATTGAAAAAATCGCATGCGATAAAAAATATGAAAAAATAAAAAAAATGTCACGAAATACTACAAAATCTATTTTAACATCTTTATTGGCATATTTTTCAGCTATTTTTTTAGATTTTATACTTTTATGCCAAGAGGGCATTCTGAATTGACAAATCTTGTCAAAATCGGTCCAGCCATTCTTGAGATATAAGCATTCTAACTAACATCCTCTTCCTTTGTATATACACATTGTATATATTTCGCTATATAACCGATATAGTTACTATCGGCATCTACGTAACGGTCAGAATTAACCTGTTCGTCTATTTGTGATTTCGCCGGGATTAAAAATATTCGCGGTTTAATGGAAAATTTTACTTTTATTTAACACAAATGTTGTGGCCTATTTCACCCACTAAATATTACCCAATGACCATAAAAATTGGAAGGCTTCTGCCCAGCCCTAATCTCTAGCCCCATGCTAGCTTCCGCTTTGATTAATCTATAATTGCGACCTGTAGAGCAACTGCAAAATCAGGAATTTCAGTTTTTGGTCCATTTCAACCCCGAAATATTATGCGATCATCTCCAAAAGAAATAGGGTTCTATTCTGACCCTAGCCCCACCTCCATTCTAAATTTCGTGAAGATCGGACCATAATTGCGACACATAGAGTGCTTAAAAATTAACATGGAAAGACGGACGGACATACATAGCTAGATCGACTCAGCTCGGCGAGATAGGAAGATCCATATATACTTTCCTATATGGGAAACCAATATTTCGAGGTGTTACATAATTTTTGGCCCAATCATACTTATAATACCCCCACGACATAGTGTTGTAGGGTATACAACAGAACGAATTACTGCAGATTACAAAAGGATACAAAAACATTATTTGTAACACGAGTATTTCAACTAACCAAAATTTTTATATGCCAGTGTTTCTCTTTTTTTTTGAGCATAATGTACAAGTATTCTCTCTCTTTAAATATACCATTAAATCTAATGAGAACTAAAATTCGTACTCTTACAAATTTCCACATACTCTTAAAAAGAACATTACATCTAGAAATAAAACCATCAGCAAACATCTAGGTATAACAACTTACGCATGTCCCTTTAATTCGCATTCCAAATTGCCCATGACATTCCATATGTAGATAACGCCATCCGATGAACCACAGGCGATTTTTGTGGCATTCATATTAAATGAGGCACGGGCCCAATCACAGCTAAGTTTAAAATGTTCATTGCTAAATGGAAGCAGCGAAAAGAAACGAAAGAAAAATAAATATTAACACAGAACTTAATAACAGCATAATGGAATGCAATAATAATTAATTAAACAATAGGGGTATTCAACACAACAACTTAATGGTTAACATTTCAATTAATTAAAATTATTTTTTCAGATGCCAAGTTAAACTTATACTCTGTTGTGGCTCAGCATGAATACTCTTTGTGTTAATGAATAAATATTGATCATATTATGCGGTACTTACGAAAATGTGGAAATAACTTGGTTTTTGCGTAAATCTAAAAGTTTTATAGTATCATCACGTACTGAACAAATGAGGTAATTGCAATCTGAAAACAGTCATTAAATAATTGGAATTAAAAATGTTAATTGATATTTGATATTGTCAACATACCTTTTGACAAATCCAATGAGGTAATTTTGGCATTCATCAAAATATCATCGGCCTGCTTTTCGGTACGTATATCCCAAAATCGGATCTTTTTGTCATAATGACCGCTAATAATGGTCGAACCTAAACTATCGGTGGTAACGAGATCATTACAACTAGATCCGGCAAATTTGGTCTCTATGCAGGCTATACTACGCAAGTCCCAGATTTTTAATGTTCGATCGTGGCTGCCGGTTACAACTTTCACTGGTTCTTGTATATACTTAGCTGCCATTACTTTGCCACTGTGGCCGGTTAAAGTGTGCTGGAATGAAAAAAATTAGTTAAAATTAATTTTATATACACTTGCTGTTTAATTTTGTAAATTACATCCATTTGTGAGTTTTGTATTTCTTTGAAATTAGGTCCTTTTTTAAAAAAACCGTAAGGTATCAAAGACATACAGGGTTATATGGTATAACTGCATCAGCAGAAATGGTTCGAAAAGTAAAGAAGCGACTTGATCGAAAACCCCGTCGCAGTGGCCGAAAAATGGCTAGTGAGCTGAACATTGTATTGTAATATTCCATTCGGCAAATATTAAAAAATGAGCTCGGGGTAAAGCCATTGAAATTCAAAAAAGTGCAAGACCGAAAGTGGTGAACTGCCGAATTTGGATTTCTCCGACGAGAAAACATTCGTTGTCCAGTAGTTTATAAACAAACAAAATGATCGTGTTTACATCCTGAAAATGTGCACCTTCGGTTGGCCACCAGAACTCAAGATCCGGCCATGGTGATGGTGTGGGCGCCTCTTACAGCCGATGGTCGCTCTCCGCTTGTATTATCGACCGTGGCATCAGAATAAATTCTAAATATTATCGCGAAAATATTCTGGAGGGTGTATTAAGACCTAGGGCACGCAAACTTTTTAGCCGCAGAACTTTAACAGGAATCAGCACCATCGCACCTAGCGCGCGCCACCCAAAAATACCAAAGTGTCGATCACCCCAAGCAAGCGCTTCGCCGGGAATGGGTCAGAGCAACATTTGGGCAGCGTGTGACGGTTTCATTGGCCTTTCGAAGGCCATAATTCGTGCCAAAGGTGAACAAGTCGAACTAATCTAAACTTATTATAAAATTTGATGCTATTTCCGACATTGTTCGCTTTCATTTAATAAAATCAAAAAAATGTAAAAATTATGTCGTTTGACTTTGTTGTAGTCTTTTCATCTCACCCTGTATGTGGTATTTGATGATTTTAGCTACACTATTCACCGATTGAAAATTTGCAAATTCGTTCAAAATGGTGGAGGGTGTTGAAGGTACGGCCGAACTTACAGTCTTTTTAATTGTTAACAATCAACTAATGTTTTCCATTCTTTGTCACGGAAGATTTTGAATTTATTTAATTCTGAAATTCAGAATTTATTTCAATAAAGTAGCATAAATAGAGTGGTCTATAAAATAGACGAAACAAACTTTAGTTCCTACTTGTTGATGTTCATCTTTTCATTTCCGAAACCTATGTCAGCTCTTTATCTGTTAACGCATGTCTAAATAGAATGGAATTTTCGATAGCCAACTAACTTCGTTTAAGCCTCGAGAACACCTTACATTTTTACGATACGCCTTTGAGGCAGCTGCTGCTGTTTGATGTTACAATATGCACATAAAAATATACAACAGGAAATTAATCAGCGCTCTAGTTGTAACAGCCACAAACTTTGTAAATGAAAAAAGAAAAAAAAAATAACAGCGCCACCAACAGAAGAAGTCACAAAAATTGGCGTAAAAATACAGAGTGGTGACCACAAATTGTAAAGGTTTGGCTATGTGGGTAGAATTTTCGTGAGCCTAAAATTTGTTCGATTTCACCCAAAATTTGCTCGATGAACTTCCTTAGCAAAGCCCGCATATTGATATTAAAATTCAAATGATGAATAAGCCAATCTGAAGATATTTGGAAGTGACATAACGAAATGTGTATGAGCGGTTTAAGCACTGGGTGCTTGCTTTTCTAAAATTGAGCAATACCTTATCCAAAAAATCGACAATTTTCTACGTCTGAAATTGTTTTTGCCTATACGGTCCCTATATTAAGAAAGAACTCCCCGATACCTTTCGTTTGAGCGATAAATTTTCTGAAAATTCGAACAAATTTCAAATCTGAAATTCGTTTGGGCCATATATTCGGAAAGTTTCTGTGCAGTGGACTCTTTTATCCCCAAATCTCCTAAAATTAAGCGATTCGATTTCTGAAAATTCGAACAATATATAAGTCTGAAATGCGTTTTGCCCATAAGGTCACATATTCGGAAAATATTCCTGTTTGCCTATAAGATCCATATATTCGGAAAGTACTCCTGGAGTACTTTCGGGAACAGTTTCTAAGTCTGAAATGCATTTTGCCTATAAGGCAAGTACTCCTTGAGACCTTTGATTTGCGATATTCGAACCCTGTCTCAATTTTAAGTATATATTCTGAGCTTTATGTAAATAGCTAAGTTTTTAAACATTTTGAAAGTTCGAATTGATCACCTTTGGCACGAATTATGGCCTTCAAACGGTCAATGAAACTGTCACACGCTACCCGAATGTTGCGCTGCGATATTTTGGTCCATTCCCGGCGAAGCGCTTGCTTGAGGTGTTCGACACTTTGGTATTTTTTAGTGCCAACCTTGCTTTCCAAAATACTCCAGATACAATAGTCCAACGGATTGGTATCAGGAGATTTTGGTGGCCATTGTGCGTTGGAAATGAAGCGAGGAACCTCATTTTGTAACCATTCTTGGGTGGCGTGTGCTGAGTGCGATGGTGCTGAGTCCTGTTGGAATGTCCTAGGTCTGCGGCCGAAATGTTTGCGTGCCCAAAGCTTTAATACACCCTCCAGAATATTTTCGCGATAATATTCGGCATTTACTCTGATGCCACGGTCGATTAATACGAGAGGAAAGCGACCATCGGCTATTATGGCGGCCCACACCATCACCTTGGCCGGCGCTTGAGTTCTGTTGGTCAACCGAATGTGCAAATTTTCAGCTGACCTCTTTGGCAAGTAAACACGATCATTTTGTTTGTTTACAAACTGCTGGACAACCAATGTTTTCTCATCGGAGAAAACAAAGTTCGGGAGTTCACCACTTTCGGCCAAGCGAAGCAACTTTAACAGCTGTCGGACGAGTGGATTAGAAATGACAGCAGTTTTTTCATCTCACCTTGTATTTGTATACCCACCACTATACTATGGAGGGTATATTAACTTTTTCATTCCGTTTGTAACTTCTTCTTGATAAGCGCAAAATTCTATGTCGATTAAGCGAGGTCCGCCTGTTTATCTGTTGTAATGACACTAACTTTCGAAAGAAGGTAGATAGAAGGGTAAAATTTAGCACACATGTTTATTTTGCCAATAGGCAGAATTAGAGTCGACCGGAATTGTTTCAACTTTCGTATTTAAAGTTCGCAATGGGTACTACAGCCTATGACAAAAAATTACTTATGTAGATCCACGTCTTTGTTCAGCCCTCATATAACGGTACCTCTCTTTATTCGGTATTTTGATGATATTAGCGATGATATCCACCGGGATTGATTCAAATTTTGTATTTGAAGTTCGGAAGTTTATTCGTATAGCCCCCATTAAATGGTTTTCAACGGAATTTTTCGACAGTTCTTTTTTTTAAATTTTCAATTTACTTCCAAATTGTGGAGGGTAATAAAAGTTCGCCTAGCCTGAATATTGCTGTTATTTTAATTGTTTAATTTGTGATTAGTATGTTTTCATTTAGCGGATTCTATGAAAATTCATAATTTATGTTCCGTTTTTATGATATATTTATTTTAAAAGAGCTATAGTTTTCCTGTGGTTTACAAACTCTCTCCCTCTCTTTATGAACCCTTTCTGAATCGAGTGGGCATGACACTAGCGATATGCAGTTATAATGCATTGAACATATTTTTAAAGTTTTTTTTTTATATCAATATATTATATTTATATTATATTTGTCACCCGAACTTGTTTAGCATTAGAAATGGAATTCATTAAATTGTTTGATTCATTCGGTATTTTGGAGAAAGAAAAAAATAAAAATTCTACAATATCAAGCTGATTTTTTTTACATTTTTATCGCTTTTAGATTTTAAACCAAACTAATGAAAAAATCCTCCAAATAATGATTTTAATGTCCAAATACTGTTTCGTATTGTACATCCGCTACTGTAATCTGAAAGTGTTGTATGAAAAATTGGATTTTAATCGGTGCAACAAATTCACATGCCGCGTGTTAGAGCACACGCACATACACACACACACACATAGAGACACCCGCGGATGCACCACAAAAAACAATGAAAATTATTTATGAGATTTTTATGTTTTCGAGATGTTGGCGGCGGCTGTTGGTTTGTTGGCCGGTTGGCATGATAACATTTCGTGTTAACATTTTCAAATTATTGCCTAAAATTGTAAATGTCCGTTTGATTCGTGGCCACTTTTTCCTGGCGTCGTGGCTACATTGTGGTCCGGTCGCATTGAACAAAGAGAGGTGGCCGACCAGTGTTGGCCAATAAACGGGAGCATTTTTCTATTATAGTGGCGCATCATGCTCGTTGTAAAAAAGTAAAAATGTTTCGGTGATTGTTGTTTTTATGGAATTTCCTCAAATAAAATAATCTCCAAACTGGCCAAGAGGCAAAAAAGGTTAATTAGTGTTCGGGCTTTTTTCATCTCTTTCCCGACGTTGAAACACAACTAGAGCGGTTCTTGCAAGTGTTCATATTCTGTTTGTTAAGCATAACACGGGGTCAAAACAATAATTAACATTTTCATGTTGTTGTAGGAAAGTGCATTGTTTGTTGGTTTGTTCTCTGGGATCGTCACTCTCCCTCCCCCTTCCTTGTGGCGCTATAATTATAGAGTGTAGCATGCCAACCCATGAATAAATATTGCGTTCTGATTTGTTTTTAAAAGCGCATTTAATTAGTTCTTTATACCTTTTCCTATTCCTTTCTTCGTTAATATTACCACAAAACAAATGAAGTTTTTCTCTTTGGCTTGATTTAGGTGAGGCGTTTCGTGTTTAGATTGCCTGAAAAGGAAATGTCAATACCGACCTAAGGCTATAATTTTCATTTCTAAAGGTATCAACATACCTTTCAGGAACATTCTAAAATATAATTAGCTAGAATCTGTGGAAGATAAGTTTTTTTCAATATATTTGTAGTGGATAATGTGTAAGGTTTTCTTTTAGATCTCCCGGACTTTGGTATGAAACTAAACTAGAAGATCTGTAGCTTTTCTCATAGAAGATCTGTAGTTATTCTC